TGAAGAATCAGCTGTGATTAAGAAGAGACCAGATGCAGTCTATAAAAAGGAGGGTCAACACAGAGGAATCATTTCCTCCATGATGCCAAGCGAAGCCAACCATGGTCGAGCAGGACCTTTGACTTGTCTTCATATAGGCAGAACTGGTAAAAGAAAGAAGCCAGGGGCTCCTCCAAGCCCGTGTGACCCCTGAGGAACAGATCCTCAAACGACCTTAAGAGTAAAAAATAAATGGTTTATCTGGACCAACTGTATGGCCTTAAACACCCAAAAGGAAAGTATAACCAAAGATTAAAGGGGCCAATATAATTTCATGAGTCCATATGTATAGCTAAAGGCTTGTAAGTCCTCCAAATGTATGCAATGCCTGTGGAAGCCAGAAGAAGGCATTGGATCTCCTGAAACTGGAGTTACAGGTGGTTGTTAGTTGCCATGTGAGTGCTGGGAACTTGTATGGCCTTAAACACCCAAAAGGAAAGTATAACCAAAGATTAAAGGGGCCAATATAATTTCATGAGTCCATATGTATAGCTAAAGGCTTGTAAGTCCTCCAAATGTATGCAATGCCTGTGGAAGCCAGAAGAAGGCATTGGATCTCCTGAAACTGGAGTTACAGGTGGTTGTTAGTTGCCATGTGAGTGCTGGGAACTGAGCTCAGGTCCACTGCAAAAGCAATCAGTGCTCTTTACCACTGAGCTACCGTTTAGCTCCAGTCTTGTCTTTTCTTAACATAATGTCTTCCAGGAGCATCCATTTTGTAGCAAATGACAGCTTGTACTGACTTCAAAGCCTCATATCTATTGGCTAGCAGGTACTATGTATGCTACTAGAAGAAAAAGAATATTAATCATTAACTTTACCCAGCTGTGATTCCTGAGTGCTTCAGCAACAACTGGACTGGCAAGATATGCCCTCTGATGCAATAGTGGCATGAATATTATGGGAGTAACCAATCACTTTCTAATTGGATTCTTCATAAGATGGAGCCCATACCTGACATTGATATCAGATTTAGGAGCCTGTGGCTAGACAGGCCAAAGGCCACAAAGGATATTCAAATACTATTATTCTGCTACGTAGGTGTAGTATTAAAGTGACTCCTAATGGGCTAGTGTTACAATCCTAGATTAATGCATTTATCAGCTCTAAGCAGAGAAGCTTCCTTATGTAGCCATGGTGATAAGCACAGAAACACATAACTGGCCAACATACAGAGAATAAGAGACTTCAGAATTATTATATCTGAATTGGACACCTATATCAAACTTTTGTCTCCAATGGCTCAGGGATCACTGCAGAAGAGGTGGCAGAAAGATTGTATGAGCCAGAGATGGTGCATGACCACAAAGAAATAGAGTTTTCCTGTTACTCATGAACTCAGAGCAATGGTGACAACAAGCACACATCCCATGGAAGCTCAAGCCAGACAAAATCCTAGCACAGACGTGGAGAAATGGGAAAGAAACCCCAACCCTACCTGAGAAACTGTTGAGTTGCTAGAATGGGGAAAGTCAGTCTCTTTTAAGGGCAAGGCTCTTGGTAGGTTAACCAGGCTCCAATGGATGGATTCATATCAAAGGACATTTGGGGACATAATTTGACTTCATATGTATATGTGTGTGCAGAGAGAGAGAGAGAGAGAGAGAATATGAAATTGGACAGGGTGTAGTAAGGGGAGGTGAAGATAGGGGAGGAATCTAAGTATAATAAAAATATATGAAATTCACAAAAATTCAATTAAAAAAGAAATAAATTAATAATAAATAAAATAAACCTGAATACATCAAGGTAACAGCATTTACCAGTTAAATAAAAATGAAGCTTCAATCAAAATAAAAAAAAAAAATCTGGGCTGGTGAGATTGCTTACTGGGTAAAGACTGTTGTTCTCAAGTCTGATGACCTGAGTCTAATCCCCTGGACTCACACAGTGGAAAACAGAGAACCGACTCCAGCAAGTTGTTCTCTGGCTTTCTCATGTATTCTGAGCTTACATTAAATTAATGTAATAAAAAAATTAAAAAATCCTTTCACAGTCCAATGTCTGGAAGTGTTTCTCCCATTTTCTTCTGGTAGTTTCCTGTTTTAGTCACCTTTCATCCATTTTGAGTTGATTTTTATGTATGATGAGTGACATGGATGTGAACTAATTCTTTTGCATATAGATATCCTGTTTTTCCAGCACCAAGTATAAAAGAGATTGTCCTTGCTCAAATGTGTGCTCTTAGTGTCTTTGTGAAAGTCATTTGGCTATAAATGTGTGGATTTACTTCTGTGTTCTCTAGTCTGTTCCTTTGGTTTATCTCTGTGCTTTTATGCCAATACCATTCTTAAATATGTTTTGAAGTCAGATGGGGTAATATCTCTGGGTTTGTCCCTTTACTTAAGATTATTTTTGGCGGTTGGAGGTCTCTTGTGGTTCCATAGAAAATTTAGGATGCCTTTCTATTTCTGTGAAGTGCATCACTGGTGTTTTGACAGGTCTTGCATTGATTCGGTAAATCGCTTATGGTACTATGAACAGTTTAACAATATTGATTCTTACAGTCTATAAACATGGAGTGTCTTTCTATTGATTTGTATTCTTTTCAATTTCTCTCATTTTATGGTTTTCATTGTAGAGAGCTGTCTCTGCCTTGGTTGAATTTATTCTCAGAAAGCTTATTATTTACTTATTTTTGTAGCCATCAAAACTAGATTGTTTTCTTGATTTCTTTTTTTCAGATAGTTTGCTACTGACGCATGGAAATACTCCTAATTTCTGTGTGCTGATTTTTTTAAATCCTGCAATTATACTGAATTTATGTTATAGAAACTTTTCGGCATCTTTATGAGTTTTTCATGCATGGTCATCTGCAAGTCAGGAAATTTTACTTCCTCTGGCTTTCTTTAGATGCCCTTATTAAAATACGGTTGTTTTAAAACAAAATAAAATACTACTGATGTTTATGTTTGCATCATTTCTACACTCTTTACTGTGTATGCACAAATTCATTTTAAGGTATAGTTTTGAACTCTACTTTTTAAAAGTAGCAGGTTTCCTTTATAAAACTAGCAAAAATGTGCTAATTTATTTTCTGTTTTTCAATTAAGAAACTGTCACAGGACTCAAGCCCATGTGTCATGCGGTCAGAGAAATGGTTCCTATATTGTGGAGACTGAAGTACTTTTGTAAGTCTTTGGGTGGTCTGGCTGGATTTCTGAATTGTTATAACAATCTTTTATGTCATGGGATGCCTGGCCCAGGTTGTGCAATGTAGCCATTAAAACCAAGCAAACCTGTTACTCAACTATTTCGGTCCTGTTTCCTCTATATCGAAATCGGGTTATTTCCACACAAACATGGTTTAATAGAATTTTTACCACCTGATCAGAAAGATTGCAAAAATTTCTATAGACTTACTGATTATAAAGAAAGAAAAACTACCCTGAAAATATACTATGACTACTTTGAGGTTCAAAAGTCCTTATTGTCTTGATAAAAATCCAGGTTCAACCAACAGCTGGTGACATCAAGTACAATTGTTCTTTCTTGGATGCTCTCTCTCTAGCCGCATGTACTTCCCACAGACTTCTTTACTAATCATCCTGGGACTATGCCATAGGTGGTAGGTGTGGCACATGTTGGAAGAGTTTTTTCTGCTCCCACCAAGTTAAAGACTAAGTTGGCTATCCAGTAAGAGTCAATGGAGTTTTTATTTTGCTGTAGGGCAGAAGGTAGGAAAGAAAGAGGAGTCTATGAATCATCCTAACCAGAGAGCATATTAAGTTCCAGCTTCAACTGTTCCACGTTCTATAGTTTTAAATCACAATGACCTTGACAGTCATCTATTTCCTTTGAAGTAGGTGATTCATTTTGTGCTTTGTATTCTGCCTTCCAAATTTATTTTGAGAAGACTGTAGATCAACTACATTCACAATTTCAATTTGTGCTTCATGTATTAACTCTTTAATTTAGTCCTTGAAAGAAAAATAAAACAACTATGATCTGTTGAAAAATGAATCTAAAAAATTCATTTTTAAAGAGAGGAAAAAAAATCACAAACATTTCTCTGGGCAGTTCTGTGCCTTAACTTTCTACTGCCATGATCTGAACATTTCAGGGATTCTGTTTGCAAGAATTGTTTTACCATCAGGTTTTTGGTTTGTTTGTTTTTTTGTCTTTGATTTATTTTATAATGCTTAAAGCTCAAAACTATTTTGCTGCATTGTGAGGACATTGTTGGTCCAAACCATGTGAAGATACATAGATTACTGGGTCTATCCATATAAGAAAAGAGACAATTTCTTTTTACAGTGTCATCCCATTTTTTTTTAATTTTGTTTTTGAGACAGACTCTCAAGTAGCCAAGGATGACCTTGAACTTCTGATCCTCCTGCCTCAACCATTCCAGTGCTAAGATTATAGGTGTGTACCACCACAATCTGTTTTATGTGGAGCTGAGGATTGATCTCAGGTGTAGAGCATGCTAGACAATTATTCTACAAACTAAGTTATAGTCTATCAACTGAGTTACAGCCCCAACCCATACTCTTTCTTTCTCTACTTTTAAAAAGACTTATTAATTTTTATTTTATGTATATGAGTGCTTGCATGTATGCACCACATGTGTTCAGTGCCTTCGGAAACCATAAGAAAGAACTGGACCCCTAGAACTAGAGTTGTAGATGGTTGTAAGCCACCATATGGGTACTAGGACAGAACATGGGTCCTCTGCAAGAGCAGCAGGTGCTCTTAACTACTGAGCAATCTTTCCAGCCCCATCATATTCTTTCTTTTTATTTTATTTTATTTTATTTTATGTGTATGAGTGTATTGCCTGCATGTATGTGAGTGCACCTGTGTCATGCAATGCTGCGGAGGTCAGAAGAGGGCTTCGGATTCCCTTGGAACTGGAGTTAAGGATGGTTTGTAGCTGCCATGTGGGTGCTGGGAATCGAATCTGGGTCCTCTGCAAGAGCAGTCAGTGCTCTTAACCGCTGAGCCATCTCTCCAGCCTCCGTATTCTTTCTTACATTTCAAAACATACTGAACAATGAGTTCTGGGTTGCAAAAGAGGATTTGATTTTTCCATCTGCCTTTAAGTCTTTGTCTATAAATTCAGCTAAAACACACACCATTCATTGAACACATGATTTCCGAAGGCTCACAACATGCAAATCACTGGCTTAGTGCCAAAGATACAGAATAGTAAGCTATCAGTCTAACTGGGGCTATATATACAATATATGAATTATGTAAAGCCATCGTGGAGATGTTAAAACACATACCTCCAAAGTATAATTCAAGGACAGCTGATTGTACCAGAGAGTTGAGGTGTGTGGTACTTTTTGATCAAGGTCTTCAAGGATGACTAGAGATTCCCTCAGTGGGTCCACCCAATGGGAGTAGGCATTCTAATCACAGAGGACATAGTTTACAAAAGCTTGAAGGCCTGAAATGCAAAATAAATCCCTAAAGTGGCCAGGAATCGCTGGAATTTACGGTAGAGAGATTAAGCATAACTTCCGTCCTGCAGTTGGCTGGCTGTCTCAGCTGCTTCTCACATACTTCCCTTAGTTCCATTCCTGCCTCAGCTGCCAGGCCACTGAGTACTTCCTTTATTAGCATCTCTGGCCCCAGAGTAGGCAATTTCTGAACTGCTTTATGAGCATGACCCCTTTCATGGAAGGAATGCAGCTGGTACCTCTGTGTGTGCATATTACTCCCTAAACAAACCAGTTCTTCTCAGTCTGATTGCTCCCATTGTTCACTGAGGTTTATCCTAAAGTCATTATGGCTGTTTTTAAGTTAAATCTATCCTTAAAGAGCGAGAGTTGCTTATGATTTGAGATGACTAAAGCCCTGAAAGTGATCTTGAGACATATTTTGAGAAAGGGTAACATCAATGATAACTTTTAAAAATGAGTCTTTGAAAAGAATACTCCTTCGGATGTGCAATTCTGGTATATTTAAAAACAGGCCAAGTGCATTCCCATACGGCTGTGGTCCCATACACCTAGGAGGCTGAGGTAGGAGGATCACTTGAGCCCTGGCATTCAGTGCTGTGTTTCACTATGCTCGCTGAAGGTTGGGGCTAAGTGATCAGTAGTGGCATCAGACCTGTGAATAGCCACTGAAATGCAGGAAGACCCTTTCTTCAGAAATAAATTCACATTGTTAATTTTTTAGGTGTAATAATGACATTTTGGTTATAGAATTTTTTAAAAAAAATCTATGTACTGTAATAATGAGGAAGAAATTACGTGGGATTTGTTTTAAAGTTATCAAGTAAGAGGAAAGAGCAATGTTGGAAATACAGGGGAAATAATATCACTCATATTGGTAGATACATGGAATTCATTATGCTAGGCTATTTTTTCACATCTTTTGAAACTCTCAACAGTAAAAAGGAAAAAAAAAATCTGCATTATCGTTACATCTCCTCCTGCACCTAAGAGTGGGCAAGAAATAATTGCTTTCACAAATATAAAGATATAGATGCCATTTAACACTATCTATTCCTTGCTCCCTCCATGGGTTGGGGAAGCCCAAGTTCTTTCTAAGAAACTTCAATAACTTTTTCTATAAAGACTTCTGATGTACAGTCATATGTAGGTAAATAATCTTTAGTAATTTTAAAGGTAAGTAGGCAGCTAAACATTCATTGTAAATTTAACTAGTTAACATATGCTAAAAATTCTTGTACTCCAAAGACAGCATCATTATTATTTCAGCTGCTTCTTTATCGTTTACAGCATAGCTGCTGTGTAAACAACGAATGACTATTACTAAGTGTGTGTTACAAAGTGTCAGAGGGTGAATCGCTTTAGTTCATCCTTTTTGTTATACCGCGTTCTCCCTTAAATTTTTATTTTTAAGAACTCCAGGTGGGCTGGGGGCACAGCTCAGTGGTAGAGCAACTGCCTATCTACCAAAAGAGAAAAACAAACTCTAGGTAGGCATTTTAGGACAGTGAAGTATTCACCAAAATAATTTTTTTCCCTTTCATTCAAATTGTTTAGCCCAGTGGAGAGTGGTGGTGCATAACAATAATCCCAGCACTTGGGAGATAGAAGCAAGAGGAGGTCATCTTCTACTATATAGCAAGTTAGGGCAGCCTGGGCTACATGAGAACCTATCTCAAAAAAAAAAAAAAAAAAAACCAAATAAACAAAAAAATAGTTTAGCCTGTAAAGATCTCATACCTGTTGTTTGGTGGGAAGCCTTCAACCCCTCTTCAGCACATAGAATGCTTTGTTTCCAGAATAGTAATGTGACACAGAAGGCTCAAGGACTACAAGAGTGCAGGGCAAGCTCATGAATCTGAGTCCTCTGGTCCTCAGGCATTCCTTGGCACTGATTCCACAGGCATTGGATGCTTCTCCTGTTCAAACCAGTGTTGAATTCATTCCATGTAGACGCTACAGTATTTCCTCCTTGCTCCAGAGCCATTTAATTAACACACTTTTAATTCTTAACTTTTTCACTTTATAAATCATCTCTACAAGTGTTAATTTATACTTTCAAGATGGTTTCCTTGAATGTTCCTAGAGTGTGTTCCTAAGTGTGACCTGCCTGTATTTGAATCCCTTGGAATGTCTGTTAAGCATACAGATTCCTATCCTGGACCATAGACATCTTGAAGCAGAACAGGAAGCCTGGGATGATGATTCCTGGGCATGTCTCAACTGACAGCCAGACTCTGGAGGAAATCTGGCTATGGAATGGTATAGCTAAGGACCATAGATCATTGTGCCTGTCTTTAAAACTGTATTTGCTAAGATGACTCCTGATTTAATGACAGCTTCTTGTGCAAAAAGAAACCTTATACTTTTAGGTAAGAATTTAGAATTGTTAAATATAAGACTATTCGTTAGTTTTAGAATAAAGAACACTGGCAATATTTATGCATTGTACCATGTGCCAGGGCACTTTTATTAGTATAGTAAGCTCTTTTGCTGGGTGTGGTAGCATACATCTGCAGTCCTAGTACTGGAAAGACAGAGGTAGGAGGATCTTGGGCAGTCAGCCTGGGCTACAAATTGAGACTCTATCTCAAAACAAAACAAAACAAAACAAAGGCCATTAAAAAAACCAATAAGCTCTTTTAAAACATAAAGGTGCTATATGAGATTTCAATGAGTAGTTTTCAACATTTCAATGCTTTCCTTTTTCAAATAGTGGATATCATGTACCAATGGTAAATTAATTTAGACAAGTTATCCAGCATTAGGGTTGCACTGTCCAAACTGGTATGGCATATGAAGGGATATAAAGGCAAAGAAATGTTTTAAGAGTTTGGGATATCCAGTTTCTCTGGCACCACTGAAAAACTGAGCTGCCCTGGGATACAGTTTTTCCATCTTTCCTTTCACACACTAATCCCCCATTGCCTCACATTTTTAAACACCCTTCCTCACCCTAATCTGACTATTGTATCTCCAGGGCAGAAAGATTTATGGAACCCCACTGGGATAAAGAGCCCGCCTAGTTCAGTGATTGATGATCACACTGGGCAAGAAATACTCAAGTAACAAATCCTTTTGTGATTAGATGGTTTTGTAGTTTGCTTTCTATAAAATTATAGGAAAGTCTAAAACTGAGTTGTGAACTAATGGTTTATTTTTTCTTTGTTTCAGGCCAGGCTGATTTTGAACTTACTGCCTCGCTGAGGATAACCTTGAACTCCTGATCTTCCTGCCTCTACCTCCTGAATTCTGAGATTACAGGCATGTGTCACCATGCCCGATTGACTGATAAATCATTAAAAAGAAAATTTCATGCTATTTTGTTCCAAGACTTTTGGGATGATTCTGACAGTACAAAATATTGAGGGCATTGCTTCTATCTCTTCTTAGTTATGTAAAATTTTTAATTGGCATTCGCATATATAAGTAGAAAAAGGTAGAGGGATAAAACTGAGCTCAAATCATTTCTCAATTTAGCAATAAGTAATTTTTATCTACAAATACTTGGCCTAATTTTAACAAAACCAGCAAGTCCCCATCTAACTCCTTTATAGACACATTTCTGCTTAAAAACTACTTACAAAATATAAAATATATTCATGTTGTTTTATCAGTAGCATGCTAATAATTGAAGTAACTCAATTGTTTGTGAGTATGGTACATTTGTCTGTGTATGTATGCATCTGTAGAGACCAGACATCAACACTGCTGTCTTCCTCTACTAGTCTCTACCTTATTTTCTGAGACTTGGCCTCTCAATGAATCTGGAATCCACAGACTGGCTAGACTAGCTGGCCAGTGAGCCCCTGTGATCGTCCTGTTTCCAACTCCCAGTGTTGAGGTTACAGGTGCAACTGCTACATTCAGCTCTTTATGTGGATGCTGTAGATCAGAACACAGCGCCTCATAATTGTGCTACAAGCATTTTACCCACTGAGCCATCTCCCCAGCCTCTAGAATAAAATTTAAATATAATTTTGTAGGCTGTTAGGAGTTAAAATATATAACAGAATGAAATTCTTTAGCAGAACATAAATATGAGATCAAGGAGAGAAAGGGAATCAAAACCTCTGATTAAAAAACAGGTTGTTCATGCCTTAAAAAATATATGGAGGGATATTCAGATTCCATTAGGTATATATTTAAACTAATGTAATATTTTTATATTTATTTATTTATTTGGCCTTTTTCTGGTTTGGGGTTTTTTTTTGTTTTTTAAAAAAATTATTTATTTAATAACCATACAATTAGAATTCATTGCAACAGCATTGACATATTCAATAACAATTTCCAGAGCTAAGATGCATCTCTTTCAAAATTGGCCGTAAATTTTTAGGTTTACAGTTGAATTAATACAGTTATACAATATTGTACTCTGTATATACCCTATAAGACATAAAATTGCATGAGGTTTTAAACTTTAAAAAAGATCTTCATTTCATTATTAAAATACACAGTTTCATACAGAAAAATTCATTTTTAATACAATTGACACTAAGATGCACTTGCATTTCTAATCTCTATATATCTGATTATTACTAGTCACAGTCGGTTACTTTCTGAGCTCCTTGGCATCTGAGCATGGATATAAAGTCATCAGGTAGATTTCAATGGCAATGTTTTTCACATCTACAAATTATTAAGGAGCAGATTTTTATGCTTTGAAGAATTATT